AGACGTTTATTGTAGGACCCTTTGATTAGTAATCACTGTTTAACCGCAAATCACTGAGACCAAGACTTATCTCTGAGTTAAATATGAGTCCTAAGAATCTGCAACCTAAAATGTATTTCTCACAAACTGCACATGGTCAAAACCAAGTTTTCAGCAACAGAGTGGTATACTGTAGCTTAAAGGCCCTACACACCTGTCATCCTCCCAACCTTTTGTTTTCTCTTATCGTGTCTGAATAGACCTCTTCTGAGGGCTGTGTGTGGGCGTGTAAAGGCGGTGGTTGATTGACATCTCTCTGACACTCCTGTGAATTTGTGTTGAAGAGTGAGCTTCACCTGTGTGTATTTGCATGGTCTTGATATACAAAAGTCTCATATGAAAAGACATGACAGTGATCTATCCATGATGTCTCTCTGGATAATGTGTGGAAAGGAATTATAAAGACTTCTAGAAACAGGCATTTTTCACAGCACACAGGAAAAGCACAGCTGTAATTTGTAGTATTAACAAGGGCTGCACTCAGTTTAACTTTACCTGTTCCGGGGTGCTACTGCTATGCACACTAATATGGCCTACTGATACACTTAAATAGGACAGAGGGTTCGTTAATGGTATTAATTACACCTGTGCTTTCCTGCTATGTTTTTTCTTTCATCCGAATTTATTGATGGGAAAAAATTCATGAAACAGATTTGGTGTGATTTACTTGCATTATGTAAATGTGAATCTGAATCTCCAAATACCAACTTTTTGTTGTTTGCATAATTGTTTTTACAAGTGACATCCCGTAATCCCTGTTCCTGTATAACTGTATAATGCAAGAAGGTGGGGCCATACAATTGAGGGTTTAAAAACCTTAATCTGCGGGGAAAAATAAATAAAAATATTCCATCCAATTTCAAAAATGACTAAATATGATATGTGCAATTAAAAGGGCTCCTTGTGGTGTGATTAAAATGGCAGGCTACATCAAGTAACAAATATTAAAAGGACAGGAAAACCTCCAAAGGAGTCACGAGGATAGTAGTTTATGTAATTATGTGCCTGGTATGGGAAATTAACACCTGGAAATGATCCCAACATCAGCCAACATTAGTGTTCAGACAATATGTTTGTTTAAATATATTAGTTTTCATTTAGAGGCAGTAATAAGTGCTTGATTTTATGCTCAATAGGTCTCACTCCCTTGAAGATTGCAATTTTACATATCACGATATGGTCCATCCTGAAGAGACTAAATCTCTGTTAGGAATAATCATTGTCTGGATACTAAATCTGTGGATTTGTGTGCCTTAAAATACACTTGGTCTATTGCAATGCACTGCAACTGTTATTGCAGTGTGTTGCAGAACCAATTAATGCATGGTGACTTCTTTTTATACTGTTTACTACTTTCCCTTTTCAAGTGCCAAGAGGATTTAAATAGCAATACAAAATATTGTCTGCTGGCTCTTTTGACACAGAAATATTGATATCAGCCTCCAGAAACACATGACCATGTAAAATCCAAGACCTTTATACCCCTCATCACATAAAACAACCTTCTTGCTAAGGTGTTTTCTTGCCAACGTGGTGCACATGTCCCTCTGATACAGCCAGGGAAACATTTCACACAGGTGTAAGAGCACAGTAGAGTCAGTCTCCCTCATGAGGCCATCACACAGAACTAAACACCCGAGGCGCAGGAAACTCCTCCATCGCTCCCACTTGCAGAATGATTCGTTTTAAAGGAGGGCTTAGTGAAAGACGTTCCTCATTATCCCCAATATTAAAATGAATACAAATGTTTTTGCTATGACTACGTAAAAGCACATGACATTGATTTCTAGCTGATACATTGCTGAAAGAGGTAAGACAGAGAGAGGGGTAAGACATGATTATTCATCTGTGATCTACTTGTGACCCCCCTGTCCAAGGCGTAACCACGCAGCCCTGTGCATGCAGGGATTGGTTCCAGCCCCCCACAATCCTGAACAACATATGGAATATAGACAATTGATGGAGTGAAAGCCAGACTTTCAAATCAGGGAATCATATTAGATAGTGCCATGGCAAGTCAGTTCCTGTAGACGTTACACAAAGACAGGAGCTGACACTAACCTGCTTCTACATTTATAATATCCAAATTGCCAACATGCTGCAGGGCTGACAGTTAGGAATACTACATCTCCTTCAGGCTTTGTACTATAATAATAAATTTGTGCATGAGAGCATGAACTGCTCTTGAGATTAAAGCTGACCTCTGGTCTTGTCAATCCATTAGAAAAATGACATTTTAACCTTTAAGATCTTGAAGTGGTTATACAAGAATTTGTTCCGTAGGCAAGTCAAGAGACAGGCCACAGCAGGGGTCAGATCTGCTGGGTAAAAAAGCTATATTTTTTTAATTCCCCAGAATAAAAAACATATTTAAAACACATATATAGCTATCTCTCTCTCTCTCTGTCTCTCTCTTCAGAATATACTGTATATATCGGCTTGCTACAATATACAGTTATGTTTTGTTGGTCATTAATTAGTTCGTTAACTGGTAGTGAATTTTAACAACTGTGCTTTTCTTGCCTCCGGAAAAACAGAATTTGTAATAGAGGACAAGATAAAGTTGTTATTTTTTGTCAGCATACAGATAAGTGTGTGATAATGTAAGCAGAAACCCATAAAATAGAATTTTCATAACATTAGCATTCATGAGAAGTCTGGTTGTTTACCCCCGGTTATAGAGCATGTTTCAGTTTTCTGCACAGTCACAGGTGTTGTGGAAATAATTCTCATCTGGTCTGCTCTGTGTTTAGAGTTCCAAATATTTTGTTTTCAAAAGAAGCTACTTTCTGATTGCCAATAAGCCCACATGTATTCTGTGGAAGTGAAGATGTGCTGGCATAGAAGCATATGAAGAAACCTTTGCACATTTGACTGGTATGAACTCATTTACTCTTCAAGGCCTATCATATACAAATAATTAAGTCTTTCAGGAGGGAAGGATCCTACAAACTGCTGGAATATACTGGTCCATGCAGACAGCTTCTGATGGAGCACCCGGCTCTTACTACCATGTACCCCCCAGTGATCAGTGTGGATCTGTCACTTTTCCTTCACCTGCAACCCATCTACTGCACCCCACACAACACTGTCCACATACACACACACCTGGACAGGGTTAAGACAATATCCTCATTAATAAGCATGTCTGCCCTTGATCGTCTGCAGTTAATCCAGAATGCTACTCTCTCGGACAAACAGACACTCTCACAAAACCCCATTTACTGAGATCTCTTTACTGACTGGCTCCCCGTCGCATATAGGATCAAGATCCTCACTATTACTTTCAGAGCACTGCACGATCAGGCTCCTGTATATGTGCCTGAACTATTTAATCTTTACTCATCAGCTCGCTTTCTTAGGTCTAACAAGCAAAACCTGCGGTCTGTCCCACGCACTTGCCTTAAGGTGATCGAGCTTTTGAGGCCATAGCACTGCTTTTGCTCTGCTGATTGTGTATATTCCTTTAAAAAGTAGCTAAAAACACATCTGTTTAAACAGGAGTTTGGGTGACCTGCATGCACCAGCTCTGCATTTTATGAATCTGACTGTGTTTTTTATTACCTACTATGTAATTACTGTGAAATCTTTTACCATTAATGTGTATTTATTGTGAATTCTTTTCCCGCTCACTGTGTATTTACTACACGTTGTGCAATAATTAGGAATTTTTATTACGGACTGTTTTATAGCTCACTTTTTCAGGTGGCTCGGGTGGTCATTTTATCTTTAATCTTTTTTAATTTTCTTTATCAGTGCATTTGTCCCATAAATGTTAATGTTATTGTAAAGCATTTTGTGCAAGCATAGTGTGTGAAAAGCGCTGTAGCTACAAATAATGTTTACTTACTTCCTAACTTACTTAATATGAATTACCACTATAAAATTGTCATTAATAGTTAACCATCTTCCCTGCACAGCACCCTGTGTGCAAACCTGCCAAAGTAAACACATATATATTGATATGCCAGATCTCTTTCAAAAATGTATCTTGAATATATTCAAAATAATATATTATTTCAGTAATGACACTGAGGCTGTATATTTTATTCAGACAGTGCTAAATTAAACCCGACTGTAACCAGAAGCTTCTTACAGCAGGGTGTGTGTTCAGTTTTTTAAGGGTTTTGTATGGAGGACTTTCAAAACTCTAAAGTGCTCACAGTTAATAGCTTAAATTACATCGAAGCTCATACTGGAGCCATTAGTGGTAGCTGGGTTCTGACCAGGACGGTCCAGTCAAAGTCCACTGAGAACTTCATTGGAGGCTTCCTCATGTTTTTGAAGCCTTCAGTCACATGGGACGTGAGAACAGCACAATCAACCCAACAACAGCACCGGTCCGGCCACTAACAGCCGCCCCTTTCTCCAAATAAGGTAATTAGAGGAGGAAAACCCCGGAAGACTCTCCATGGTAACTCACAAACAGGAGGGGCAAAACAATGGACTAGTAAGGATGAGATGATTGACAGCTGGTTGCGGCTCGCGCTCGCTGCCTTTATACTGCATCCATTAGCGAGAAGAGCTACAACAACAACAACAACACACGCACACACAGAATAAATCACGTTAGGCCTATATTAATGTGTTTGATACAATGAGCCATTCAGCAGCATAAATTATAGTGTCCACTGTCGTGCCACATTACAAAATAACACAGACTATTTAATAAAAGCGTGATAAATATTTTCTACCACACCGGTCCGTGCACGCTAATTAATAGATTATGCATCATGCCCACCTGGCTTACTCCTCTGTAAGGAAGCCGAGGGTTAATTTTTCAGCTTGCACAATGACAGTTTACATTCTTGTTACATTAATTTCCTCTTACATTATTCCTATTGCATTATTGTCACACCCTCCTCCTGAGTTGTAATGGCAGAAGCTGGAACTTGGCGTTGCGAGATAATCACCACATGGATTTGTTGCGAGAGAAAGCAAAGAGCTGCGTTGATATTTACCTCAGTTTCTCCTGTTCATCATTGTTCTTCAAAAGCGAAGAGAGTCTCCGGTGTGTGCGCTGTGCAGTACTCCGAGTCTGCGCTGAATAATAACGTTATTCTGCTGCGGGGGAAAGCATACTACTGTTGTACAACCTCCCAAATCTCAAATTGGAGCCTGTAGTTGTCAGGTTGCTTGCTCGCGCGTCCCTTCAGTCAAGCGCCACATGTACAAAAAAAAAACAACAACACCAAACGTATCCTATTCTAATGCTAACTGATTTAAAAGTTATTTCTTGTGCTCAAAGCGACTGTCGGTAGTTATTTTACTAATTAGTGGCTGTGACGTTGTGTTGTAGGAAAGGCAGAGCAGTCTTTATCCCTCTCATCCACAACAGTGCTGGATGCTGTCGGTCACAGCAAGTGTCTCCGCCCCATCACCAATCACATGCTGTTGAAGAAAATCTGTGATTGATATTTTTGGTTATTTATCTGGAGAATTAATAATTAGGCTAAATAATTAGCTCTTATTGTTCTTTAAATTGTGTTAATTTGGTTGGTAGGGCTATTTATGGGCTAATGCTAGTTTTTATAGGCTAAAGAAACTGTTCAATAAACTCGCCTATTAGGCCGACCATAATCACACTGAATATCAGTTAGTCACTCATATGTATCAATTATATTTTATTTTATTATCCCTTCTGTCTTCCAGTTCTTCAGAGTCAGCACATACAGTATTGTTTTAATACCCTAATGTTCTGGCACTGTGGCATGGTCAAGTCAGCACATATAGCCTATTATATAGGCCTACAGCGATGTATATAAGCCACACAAACCCCAGAGTAAAACATATAGCTTTGCTGCATGTTGTCCCCTCTCTAATTCCCTCATTGCCTGCTTCTCTGAAATAAAGGATAAAGAAACAAGACAACAAGATAATAAAAAGATATAGCTACAGCAGAATATAGTGTAGATCTGTGCATTGGTTTGGTTTTTACATTTTAAGATAGTGTGTAATCTTCAGAGTGGTAGGCAATGCTATTTGTTAAGCATTAATAATCTATTTATCCATCCATCTATCTATCTATTCAATTCTATTGGCTTTATTGGCTTGATGTTTCAGAAAGTAAATCATAAATTAACAATAAAATGAAGAAAAGAGAAGAAAACAAACAAATATATATGCTATTTATAAAGTTTAAGTGATGTGCTGTCCAATTATGAAATAATTTTACAAACATCTTTTTAACGTCAATGCTTTTATTTTAAGTTTAGTGTGCAATTGACCGGAAACGTAATTGTAACTGTTTGCTGTGAGCTTCGTGGTTGTTAACGTTACTTGTCATGCTGACCAATCACAGCGAACTTCAGAGCCTGTTGGAAGTGCACTTGTTTTAAGTACTCCCAGCTCCTGGGCGGGCGGGAAACAGGACAACACAGAGAGAATTAAACCCTCACGCCCCACCGCAGACGACCGCAGACAGAAATCGAGGTGACTGAACGTGAACACTTCCTTTTTGTTGCGTGTGTAAATGGACAGTGAGCAGCAGTATCCAGTAACTACAACGCAATTATTGGGTCAGATGTTAGTTGCAGCCTAATGTGAGGAGCATAACTAAGGTTAGGTAGGATAAAAGTTTGTTTGTCTCTGCCGTCTTTTTCGTTAAAGCTGCTAACGTTAGTTTAGGAGCTGATTTAATTGTTGCTTAGGCTAACAAGTCGCGCTGAAATTAGTTTACCTTGAACTAGCCACATGTTATAATGTTAAATAACGATTGTTTGGTCCGAAAGACAGACTTGTTTGTTTGCTAATTATATATAACGCTAGATACATAACAGACAGTGGCTAAGTTATTTGGCTAGCTTATGTGGAAACAGGACTCTAGCAACTATTAATAATTTGCCACAGTGCTAATGTTACTCACTGGTTTAACTTATTAGACCGGTAACAATGGATTTAACTGTCTAACGTTACTGGACTTGGTTGAAGATTGCTAGTTAGCTTGGTAGTATCAGAAGATACCCTACCTAGCAGCACATCATTGAATGACATTGTGAATCATGGAGGAGCTTCTGCTACCTTTGTACTCATTACAGCTAAAAGTATGATAAAGATAACACAGCTTTGTGATACTGAGCCTAACACGTCTCTAAATATGGGTCATGTGCGCAGGGTTACACACAGTATGCACTCTGGAAATGTATGTATTCTGATGAGTGCATCCTAAAGCCTCCCCAAAATCACAGGCAGTGAAGAAGACCTTTAGCTGCAGCTATGTCACTCTGTATAATATTGTACAATCTGAACACACCCCCCAGGTCATAATTTTGTTTCACAACATCTGTCGTCATTTTCTACAATCAATCGCCACCACGCTCCCGCACACCAATGCTCTCAAACACCAACACTAAACACAGGAACTTACTTGTTTCTTGTCCTCTTTTCTTCTCTTCGTCAGATATGACAAAGATTCGAAGGTGGATTGAGTGAAACTTTGTCATCGATCCTCCCAGTACATCCATGTGTATAATTTTCTTCAAGTTTGACCCCCGGCCTGCGTCCAAAAATGCCTACAGGTGAGCAATTAACAAACTTTGCTACAGTGTGAGTATATTAGAAGGCTAATTTGGTCAGCCACGAGGTAATTAATTTCTTTAAACAAACCCTCATCATGCACATTCATGTCAGAGAAGACGGCCACCCACAGAAGTGCTAGTAGGGGTTTAGTATTCGTGGTCAACCGATACAGGTTTTCAGTGGCTGATATTTAGAGAGCAGGGTGGCCGATAATAATGCCGGTATCAAAACAAAGAAAGTTTATGTATAATTCATCATTATTCCAAGCAGAGTTCAATCTAATCTAGTTTTATTAATAAATTAAATAGAAACATACATTGGGTTATGCTATATATTTCAGAACGTCACTGGTGGGGTACAATTTGACGGTACAACAAAATATATTATGCTAGCCATTAATGGTTTCAGATTAGATCTGCTGTCATTTAGGATGATATATCGGCTTTGTGAGTGCAAGGATTGACCAATGCCAGATATCGGCCCTATTAATCGGTCTATCACTGCTTAGTATCTTGCATAAGTGTCAAGCAGCAAGTGGGAAAACACCGAGAGAGAGATTTCGACACTGCAGTGTGTTTATGTTAACCTTTAATCCTGAAGTAACTACTGTCTGGTCCATCTTGATAAACAATGTTATGAGGCTACTTTTTAAAACATACCCAATATGTAATATGTGGGGGTGGTGATGGCGCATAGATAAGATGCTTGCCTTTGGTGTGGGAGACCTGGGTTCGATTCTCACTGTGAGACATCCACCATTGTGTCCCTGAGCAAGACACTTAACCCCTCGTTGCTCCAGAGACGTGCGACCTCTGACATGTATAGCAATTGTAAGTCGCTTTGGATAAAAGCGTCAGCTAAATGAATAAATGTTAATGTTAATGTAAGGCTGGAATTTTGGCACATGTGTATAAGAGCTATGCGTCATATTTCTTTTTGATGCAGCAAAAAAAAAAAATCCCCACCGTTTAATATTTTACTCAGTATGCATCTCATATAGCTTCAGTGAAGTTGAATATAGAAACACTTTTAGAAGTAAATATAAGAGGAACGACCTTTTCAGGTTGATAAATCAAGTCGCGTCAAGTCTTGACATCACAGCTGTCATACTCTGACAATGCTGCAATGTTGCCTGTTTCATCTGGTTCCAGTGTTGTCTAGTGTGTCACCTGAAGCTTTGAGCTGAGGTGCAAACACAAACATAGTAACAATTGACTTTTTGGTTGTTTAAATATATATTTTATAAAAATGTAGAACCAAGGGACATCTGATTTGAATGAGTTGAAGGTTTTTAATGGGATGACATGAATAGCCCTCTAAATTGGGCAAATGTAGAACTAGGGCTGGGCGATAATGGCCAAAAATGTTATCACGATAAAAACATTTCATATCATTCGATATCGATAATTATCACAATCTCTCTCAAATCAGTAGTTTTAAGGTGGATTTTTGCTCCTAAGTAAAAATTCAAGAAACCAGATGGTTAATTATGTGGTTAAACTTTTCTTTATGGCCAGAATGTGACAAACACTTGATGCCAAACAGTGGATCACTTCACAAGTTAGAACATTTAAAACTATTATCTTTTTCAACAAATTATTAGTTTGATAAATTAATCTTTCTTCAGGTCTCTTTTTTTCAACAAAATAAATATTTTTAAGAAAAATTAGGTGCTGTGTTTGTCTGTGATTCAAATGAACTAAAGCAAATATTTATTGACAATATATTGAACATGTATTGTATTGTTATTGAGGAAAATTATATTGCGACAATTATCATTATTATTTTATTGCCCAGCCCTATTTAGAACATCAGAATCAGCTTTCTTGCCAGGTATGTGTACGCATACGAGGAATTTGACTCTGGATTGTACAATGCTGTGCTTACTTATACAATAACACAATAATACAGAGCACATATATATTATAAACAAAACAAAATAGACAGATTGAGACAACAGTGCAGTGAGCAAAGGAGTGCAAAGGATGCAGGAGTTAATTATTATTATTACCAATATTGTTGTTATTATGTACATGTCGGAGGTGGATGAGATATACAGGTACACATACAAGCATACATGTACACAGCGTGATGGAGCACAGTGCAAAGAATCATGTGCAGTACATCACATCTTACCAAATTTCAAAACTCAAATCTACCATTTTAAAGCGCTGAATGTATCTTTGCACAACCTCCATGTGTCCTACCCAGCAGTAAAGGCTAACTTCTTTCAGCACAGACCAGTGCACTACGAGCAGTCAATGTGAGTTACAGGGTGATGTCGAGTCCAGCTTATTATAATCTCCCTGAGCTTGAGAGTGAGCTCTCTACCTGGCCATAGTCAATCTCTGTCCTTCCCTTTGGGAGTGTGACCCCGCCTAAGGAGATCACAGCAGAGGTGTGTCATGAGTACTGACTCAGACCTGAACCTGGGGAAAGGTGAAACGGGCTGTGCCCTAATGTGGTTACATCTGTTCTATATATAGACCAGTAGTTGCAGAAGTAGTTTTCTTTTGCTGCAGTGATGTGTAAATCAAAAAGGGAAGTGCATCATACTTAGACTAAATTGGGTTGAAGATAAAAGATTCATTAAGTACAATTATTACAGTCCAACAGCACAAAATGACAGGAATATACCTGCGGGGATTAAATGGATTCTTGTTCAGCACAAATGACTTGGTGATTACCCACATGCTGGGATTTCTGCATTTCAAAACTTCTTCAGCTGCTCAGAATGAAAGTAGTTCTGAAATCAACCAACCAGCATTGTAATATGATTTTGACCTGTAATTATAGCTCTTCCTTAAGGCTAGTCAATTATCGTTTAAATGTCAGCAGCTCCCTAGAGGCTGCTACGTTCATTGCACCCAAAAACATGAAAGGAATTGATTTAACAGAGTTTTCATAGAGCTTTTGCAAAGGTGGGGATACAATTGTTTACCGTCTACACGAGTATGATGCCGCGCATGATAATTAAGTTATGATATGGGCTCCGAGGTCAGTGTGTCAGTTGGTTCGTCCACCACTTTGGTCCAGACTGAACTTTATCTCAAAAGCAATTAGATGGATTGCTAACACATTTTGTACAATCATTCATGGTCCCCAGAGGACAACTCCTAGTGTCTTTGGTGATCCCCTCACCTTTCCTGTACCGCCACCATGAGGGTTGGCTTTTTTGTTTTTTCACTGACATGTTTCGACTGGATTGACGGATGAATTGCCATGAAATTGCCCAGAGTAGGAATCCTGATGACTTTGCTGACCCCCTGACTCTTCTTTCAAGTTTTCACTTGAAATATGAGAAATATAATAGTGAAATATCCCATCATCTACTAGTGGTTGCTAGAGGAAAGTCACATAGTCATGAAAAACTGTTTCCTGTTTCCCCATCTACTGTAAATTTCATAGACTTCCGAAATATCGTGTCTGAGTTAGGAATTTTACATGACGTTGATGAAAGGTCAATTATTTGTATAATAAATAAGATCCTATGGGAATGAATATCACTGAATACTGCCAAGTCTACAATCGTCTGTGTTTACTGAACAGAAAATAAATCAGAGTTCAGTATTTATGAGGAGCTTTGATTCCTCTATGCTCACCGTAATGCAGCTGGCGGACTTACTGTAATCAGAGCTGCTCGCGTGTGATTTCCCCCCCTCAGGATCCGATAGCAGATGCTCTCTCTTGTGTAGCATCATTAGTGTTAGCTTTGTTTTCTCATGCAGTGGTGGGTCACACCAGTGCCATGGGAACAGGTTATCATTAGCCTTTGATGCACAGAGGTCGACCCTCATTAGGTCAGTTTGGTTTATCTGTTTGCTCTTTATCAAGCTCCTGTCCTGAAAGATTAATAGGGTGACCACTGCCAAGCTAGAGGTCAGTAAATTTCATTGGCCTTTTTATTTATTTTTGTGGCTCAAAGGGTGTGTAAGTGCTTTTGTGCAGTGTTTATATCCATATCTCAATGATCTTTTATTCTATAATTTAGGTTTTTGACAACAGCGCACAGTATATTCGTGCTTTGCATGCGTACACACCGTAGAATACCAAAGTCCACAATAAGGCTCTCTGCTAAAATGCTAATGCATGTCTACAAAAGTCCTCTGGTGCAGTAATGAGAGGTCATTCTTTCCTCTGAGCATGGGAATACTTGTTTCCTGTGTTTCATAACTGCTGAATGTGTGAGATGAGCTGGATGAAGAGTTGTGTGCATGTGTGTTGCTATGCATGTAGTAGATAACAGAAGCTGAGTAAGGATGTAGAGCCACTTAGTGATGTTACATTTCCAATTGACAGCAGTGACCTGCTTGTAAAGGCATGTAGAAACTAATGACGGGTGGTGCATTAGATACAGGTCACAATGCAGTTTGTAGATGTTAATGTCCCTGAACATAATGGCACCGTTACTCACTGAAACGCTGAATAATAATGCAGGTCAAACTGACAGGCAGCCCGTGTCAGGCTACAGAGCCACATACATTAAATTAGATCTCTTGTTCAGGCTGTTCACTCTTCGATAGTCGCAATAAATGTTTGTGTTGTAGCCGTGCTTGCAATAAAAACTCATTTAGAACCAGATAAAACACCGTGAAAGGTTACTGACGCGGGACAGGCACAGACAGCTTTTGCAAAATGAAATGATGATGAGATGGTTTATCTAGATCTGTCACACATTTAGGCATATTTTTCACATTTAAAATTGTTTTAACCCCTTAACATCCAGTTTACCTCCTAAGTACTTTAAAAAAAAAAAAAAACACGATGGGCATTGGCCGATACTTGCACTCGCGAGGCCAATCATCCGATCTAATCTAACACCAATACTGGCTAGCGATAATGTTATACTGTAGAGAATAATGAAGCTGAATGACAAACTGTACCCCATCCTCCCTGAAACACCAGTCACGTTCTGAAATGTATAGCAGAACCCAATGTATTTTTTTATTTCATTAATTAATAAAGCTTCCATCTAAAACAACACTTTACTGGCTGAGATAACATGTATATTAGATTCTGCTCTGCATGGACTAAAGGAATCATACATGACTTCTTTGTTCATCATGTATCATCCGTCGGCCGCCCTGCTCTCTAAATAGCACAAATAGTAAAGACTAGACCTGCTGTATATGAAAACCGCTATGAGATAACTGTTGTTGTGAATTGACGCTGTATAAATAAAATTTAATTGAGCTAAATATCAGTATCGGCCATTGAAAAACCCATATCGGTCGACGACTTCTGTACACTCTGTGTTGGTTTCTTGGCTTTCCTCTGAAGCTATGTGATGTTTACAGTGGCGCAAACATGAATTTAACTTTCTACAATGTCAATACTTTAGTTAATATCATACCATCTGTATGGATATTAGTTTGGTAGTTACAATATCATGACATGAATTGTGTCCACCACATCACCCACCCCTGTCTGTAAGTTAATTTTTATAATGCACTGAAATGAATGTAACCAATGTCCTAGTAATTCAAATGATAAACAGGGTAAACCATGCAAAAACATAAAAATAATAATGGTGTATTACACTGACACAGATGGCTGACACAGATCCTGGTGAACTTAGATCACAAGTTCGGTTTCACTTTACGTCCTCTCTCTTAAGACTGGTAGTCTGATTGGCTTGTCCTTTTGATGTCACATTCCTTTTGATCCTCTCTTCTTTTGGTCACCATCAAAGGACGTTCTCCTCCTTGTAAGCTCGACCTTTTGTGTCCTCTGTGTCCTGCTCAGTCGGTTTGTAATATCACATGTGCTTGAAGACTCCCGGACACATCTGAGGCCTGTATGAAGCCAGAGAGAGACCCAGGAATGTCCAGGAAACTGAGTCAGTGGCAGACAGTCTGTCTGTCTACCAACTCATTAACTTATGGCAAGGGAAATCATGATGATGAATGAGCTGCTGATGATGGATCTGCTGTTGAGACCAGTGATGGCTTTCTTTAATATCTCATTGGCTCACGTCAAGAGCGAATGAGCAAGACTCACTGAATGAACAAAAATAACAACTTCCAAACCCCTCTCCCCTTCCTCTCCTCAGGCTAATTTTGGCTGCAAACAGAGATGAGCTCTACAACAGGCCGTCCAAAGCTGCCGACTATTGGGGGACCAATAGTGAGATCCTCAGTGGTAAGCCCGTCCATCTGAGTCCAGCTCAACACTCAAGTTTCAGTACCTAGTAAGCTACTAGTAATTAGCAATACATTTATTCACTCTGTTTGGAAGCCTCTTTTGCAAGGGTGACCTACCCAAAGTGGTTAAACGTTGCAAACAAAACATTTCAAAGTCAGGAAACAGATAATATGTAAAACTGATGCATGAGAATTTGTGTTTAATCTGGCCAAATGGAATATGTGTATAATTGTATGATTTGTGTTGTGTTAGGCTTTGTGTCTGTGACTTTGTGAAAATGCAGCAGACGTTGGCACTGTTTGACTACAGTTTTATTCAAGCCTAAATGGCTTTCAATAATCAAGGGAAAGCTGTCTCCTTCTCCCCAGAATCCAATTCTCCTCCTCTCCGTCACAGGACATCCCCACCCGCAGTAAACTATATTTAATTGACTGATGTCCAATACACATTATAGCTAAGCAGAGGAAATCAATCATCCTATTTTTTTTTTTTTTTTCTGGTGAAGGAGGAAATGCAGAGATAGCCTCGTTGTTCATCAGTCTCCTTCTTCCCTCTGTAAGAGAGGTCAGGACTCCAGTAGTGGGGCCTTAATTGATGGTTGCTTTTATGCGATGTGACAGGAATAAATGGCTCTGCCTTATCTGTTGGGCTGGGGGCTGCGGGGGCAGGGCCCTGAAGGAGACATAGCATGACGAGAAGGGAAGTAAGCTATAGCTCCCAGTGGGATCGGGCTAGCTTTCCATCCGCCCCCAGAGGAGTAAGGCCGCTCGGCTGTCTTGGTCACTGTCAGTGTAAGTGGACCTGTCTTTATTGATCACCAGGAAGTGCAGTAGACTTGGGTGCCCCACCTTTTCCATGTCACGTGAAGAAGAAGAAGAAGAATGTCACACAAGGGTCGTCCAATCAAAAGACATATCAAAGGATGCTCATATACTTGCTCTAATTTGGGATTTTTTGAAGTGTCACTGAAAGTCAATGGAGATTACATCCTTTGTTCAGTTCTGGTGTGTCTTAATGCAGGCTAGTTCAAGTCCAGTATATTTTCTTACTGTCTTGGTCAGAATTTCATATTCAAAGGCAGGACATTTTGCTTCAGAGTTGTGAACTGGAAGGACAGTCCCCTTTGTTGAAAGTCTAATGTAAATGTAGAAAGAGATAAACTATGAGATTAGGGTCTGTGTTCAGTAATCCTTCAGTAATTGTTTGTACATAATTTGTTTACCATTTAAGTGAAGTTTCCTGCAAATAGATATGTAATTTAGTTTGAATAATTACAGAAATAGGCATTGGTTTTTGTGGGTAATGGTATTAATGCTATTGTTATTAATCTAACATGAAGATCTTTTTCATTTGACATATTGTGATAGATGTTATTCCAACAGTTATTGTCTTCAATATTGTGGCTTACTGTGCCGATGAAGTGTGAAGCTGTTTTTGATAAACATCCTTCTGCTTTTGTGTTAACCAGGCCTGGACCTGGAAAATGGTAAGGAAGGTGGATCATGGCTAGGGATCAGCAAGCGGGGCAAGCTGGCTGCAATCACCAACTACATGGAAGGACGGATCAACCCTGATGCACAAGGAAGAGGTGAGCCAGCCAAGACAAATTATATTCACTGATAAAATGCCTGGTGTGACGTCATGCATCTCAAGCACAGCATTGCTTTTTGTTTTTTCTACATTTTGAAGGTTCTCAATACATAATTTTAATTATATATATATATATATATATATATATATATATACAATCAAAATTTCCTATTATATAAAAAAAATAATCATTTATTACTATATGGGTTAAATGAGTTCCTAATTTGAGAACCATTTCAATTTACTTTTGCCATTCTGCAGGATTTCTTGTGTCTAACTACCTTATGGATAAGGATCATGACAGCTACTCCTACCTGAAGAAGGTGTCGACAGAAAGCCACCTGTACAACGGCTTCAACCTTATCACAGCGGAGTTCAAGTGAGTGGAAGGTGTTGTGAAATCCATCGGAGTGCATATGGTCCATTAACGGGTAAAGCTGAATCAAAGATGTGTTAACTTTGTGTGAATTTTGAGAAAGACACTTTTTTTTAGTATTTAGCCGTACTCTCAAGGTGTTACATTTCACAAGTTAAAATTGAATCCTGAGAGTCAGGAAGTCAGATGTTAAGACGGTTCTTTATTGCACTGTGTGGGTGTCATGATTTGACATTGGCAGATTCTTGCGCACTGAAGGATCAAAGCTCTTAAGGTTTTTTAGAAACTTGTTGAGAATGGGCTGTAACCGCAAAGGCTGCATCTTCATCTCTGTAGTACGAACCAAAACCTCAAATGCTCAGCTGTGAACGAGCCAGCATTAAAATTTTAAACGACCACCTGTTCATATTTCGGGGTTTCAGACACAAAAAATCTACACAGCATAAAAAATAATGAGGTATTTTGTTTCTTTTCTTTTTTTTGTCTCGTCTCCTTCATCAGCCTGACTTGACTGAATTTGGTGACCTGTTTAAAGGAGGAAAAATCAAAGTGGGATCAGTGCACACCAAGATAGCTGTCAATGCGGAGGCCCCTGTAGACAATTGGCATGGAAACGGGTCTCAGTTTCTGCCAGCGAGAGGTTGGAGGTTCAGGTCCAATACACACCACTGTCAAGCTATATCCCTGCCGGGGGGGGGGGGATATCAGGGTTTCCACAATGGAGTTTGGTGAACCGTGTAGCCTGGTAAAATGGCCTCAAGCAGGATCTCCGCTCATCAGGGATTTTCTTATTCTACTTTTAAAAATTTAGGTAAGAGAGAGAAATTGGTTTTCTGCTGTCTTAAGCTCATAAAATCATGTTTTGATAACTATATCTGCTAATCATTGGTGCCCATCTCCAATATGATTGACACGATGTGGTTATTTAAACAACAGGTCCTTGATTTTAAACAGAGATACTTTGAGACCTTTTCATTTCTACCCCGCAACCGTCAACTTTGCGAGCTGAAACAGTCACTGTGTGATTTTTATCAGCTATAGCTATATAAATAGTTAAGCTAACGTTATCTCCATCTGACTTTCTCTGTCTCCATCTGACTTTTTGATGTTTTCAGCTAACTGTAAAAATGTCTCAGACATGGACTTGTTGGCTAGATATATACAGTCCCCTCCAAAAGTATTTGAACAGTAAGGCAAATTCTTTTGTTTGTTTTTGTTCACTGAAGACATTTGGGTTTAAGATCAAAAGATGAGACGAGAGTTCAGAATTTCACCTTTTATTTCCTGGTATTCACATCTAGATGTGTTAAACAACTCAGGACATATCCCTGTTTGTACTAGACCACAGCATTCTGAGGTGAGCAAAAGTAATGGAACAAATAATCTTAAAGTAAATAACATTTAATATTTGGTGGCATAACCCTTGCTTGCAATAACTCAAGCCTCAAGCCTGCGACCCATTGATATCACCAAACTGTTGCATTCTTCATTTGTGATGCTATTCCAGGCTTTTACCGCAGCTTCTTTCAGTTCCTGTTTGTTTTGGGGTGTTTCTCCCTTCAGTCTCCTCTTAAGGAGGTGAAATGCAGCTCTGTTGGGTTAAGGTCAGCTGATTAACTTGGCCGGTCTAAAACCTTTTTTCCCCTGATGAAGTCCTTTATTTTGTTGGCAGTGTGCTTTGGCTCATTGTCCTGATTTTATGATAATAAAGAAACTGCACTGTTCTCTGCATTGCAGTGTAGAACTAGGTATTGCTAGTATTATTAGTAATATAAGGAAAAATGTAAGACTGTTATTTCATTCTAATGTCACCCTGTTTAGGTTTATGCTTTACTGCTCATATTTTCAAACAGTATGTTTTTACGTTTAACATAACAAGAGTCAATGCTTTTAGGTTGAGGACTAACCCATGTTTTGGTGAATGTAATGCTAATTTGCATAACAAGTTTGGCTGGATTTGCTGGAGTGTAAGCCAAACCAAATCCAATAGACAGCAGGACAGAATATTACCCTCCATTCTTATCAAGTAGCACCCAGGAGCAGCTTCAACACAGTGGGGAAATGCTTTTGTGAAAGGATCCGTTACTCACAATTTTTGTTTTTGAAAGGCCAAAAAAAAGACACAACTCTTTAAATGCGGAGTATCGCCCCATGCACACCAACATGTGACGGACCTGAATGCCTAGTTAAGGTTACTAAGCTATGATTGGACAATCACTGTTTGGGGGGAGGGGTTTGATGAACAGAAAATTGAGTGCAATGATTTTGTAGGATTTCAAAAAAAAATTAGCAATTTACAGGAGCAGTCCAGGAATATCAGTATTATTTCAGCCTTTGAACCCCCTTTTTTCTTTACTAAACAGCAACTAGATGGCTTGACTGTTGTTTGTTTGATATGCCGAAGCCGTCAAGATATGCAAATGCCCTTGTTAAGACTGGGAGCTGCCCCAGTGGCATTCCTCTTTCATGTAAGAATAAGGTGCCACCCCACGCTTATGAGACACAAACAAATCCAAAGGCGCTGTATGTTTATGTTGTGATAGTGTCTTCCACTTTGACTGGGCTGTCATGTGGTGCTGTGAAAGCAAGTTTCCCTGCCTCAAACAGCAGTCTGACGGGAGCTGCATTCACTGCAGACAGAGATGACACACAGTGACATAAAGCAAGCCCACGTCTTTTTAATAAACACCGTCATTACCAGCCGATGGGTTTTCCACTGTAGTGTGTCCTGCAGCCCAGAGGAAATAAGGCGTCTGGTTTCTTTCCGAATCAGTAAGTACATCTGGTGGATAGAGAGCAGCTTTATATTACAATTGAAGGATTTCTCATTCATCTGTAACTAGAGACATGATTTATGCTTTGAGGGACAAGATGTGCCCACCATTTTTAAGCATTGTCTGTCTTCACTCAGTTTTTGAGTGTTTTGTGAGATCCATGTGAGAGAACGGGTGTACACTTAAAACACAACCCAGAGAAAGTAAAATAAAATATTTCAGTCTGGTTATGATTTATGTATCGTTCCTTTTTAATTGTAACGCTTGTTAAACCAATTCTACCTTGATTAATAATCTATAACCATGCTGAGTTGAGTTCTACGTGCAACTGATTTGGTCAGTGGCCGCTGTGCATTTCCCAGAACGTCATACTGAGCCATCCCTCGGTGGAGCTAATGCCATATATATTTAAATTTTAAACTCAGATATGCACTGCTGGATGCTGCTCCATATTGAACATTTCATCTGACTTTTCTATAGCTTCAGTTTTTCATCCCACTTTATGTCACTCTCACTTTAAAGTCAATGCCCAGAGATAATCCATTTTAATGAACATCTCCTCTGATGTTTGCCTGCAAAGAAACGCCTTGCTTAATACACTTTCAGTCAAGCAGAGTGGGGCTGCTTTATAAAAAAAACAACTTTTATAAAGTGGTTCAGTCTGATGACATCAAACATGTGTTGTTAATTCTTGGCATAAACTTAGTCGAGCTGACAAAGAAAAACAGCTGTGGTGAAGATATGCACGGCATCATGGGTGGATGAACATGTTAAAGAAGAAAGACTATGAGTATTTGTTTTTTCCAGAGTAAGATTTCCTAGTGGGAAATCGTCTACTGCTAATTCTAGCTCTCAAAAATGTCAAATATATCCTACCTTGTTCATTGACTGAATCCAGATGAAAAATCAATGTAATGTTGATTTTGGCTTCACAGTTGTTAGCATGGGATCATATTTTACATCAGGAGGAGATCTGAATTCCACTACATTTTCCTGCATTTATCCTTCTATGAAAGTCTGTCAGATATAGGCTGATTTTAATTTCTGGGTTCTTTTAATGTGTAATAAGATTTCATTTCAAAAGTTATATAAGAACATAATGGTGTTCTCTTCTATTCAGTTTATCAAGTCAGTGGTCACCTTGAGGTCTCAGACAGAAGCTGATGAAATGGGTACTGCATGTCCACAGTCTTTCTAGCAGTTCTGTGCGGTGTTTTTAAGGTAAATGCTAATGTCAGCATGCTAACATGTTGATGTTAAGCAGGTATAATGTTTAACATGTTCAACATCTTAGTTTAACGTGTTAGCATCAGGGGTGTGACGAGATATCGTGATATTAAAACGTGACGATAGCTCAACAAACTTGTCGAGGTGAACGGCTGTCTCGCGATATGAGCATGACTGAGTGTGAGGCTGAAATTAGCATAGAAGATGAAGATGACCACACCCAGTTGAAACATGCACCCTAATCGTTTTGCATTTTGTGACTCACGTGAATAAAAGACATCAGAAGTCATTGAAGATTTCTGAAAAATAGTGTTAAAATATCGTCTCGTGAACCTAATATCGTTGTGTATTGTCTCTTCTCATGAGCTAAGTGTATCGTCACACCCCTAGTTGGCATGCTAACATTTACCAATGAATGAATTTACGAATTGCTGACGGGAACGTCAGTAGTTTTGTTTTTTACTAGAAAAGTCACCAGTTCTCCAAAGTTATTGAGCAGGATGTGAGTATCTGTGTCGAATCTCATTCCAATCCATCTAGTAGTTGTTGATCCATTGTACTTAAAAACACAAATGTCTTTATTGTCTGCATGCATGGGTCCAGATGTGTGTTTGTGGTGCATGTGGTCGTTACCCAGGAGCCCCCACCATCCTGCCTATCTACATTCCGAACTGATAATGTTGAAAGCTCTTCCAACCATCTCCAGGCAACTACACCACAGCTGGCGAAGTGAAACTGCTCTGCAGCCTCAATATAAAGGACTCTTCATTAAAAAGCCTCCCAGTCCGCATACTGATTACCTCTCTGAGATCTGAAAAGGACTGTTTTTGACCCTTCCCTGCTCGTTCTCTCTGCCCAGCGGCGTTGACCTCCTGCTGTTCTCTCATCTCAGCCTTGTTCAGCCCAGAGCACACCTGATGGAGCTTTCAATATTCTAGCCAGTTTCAAATAGCCAAAATAGAGCTATCTCTCTGCAGATCCTTCACCTGCAACCACCACAGCCAATTTGATGCACATCACAGCCAAAGTGTTTACATAGACACCAGAACGGTGGGGTTTGTTAAGTTCAGGACAGAATACCAAGATCAAAATGTGATCGAAAAAGTGTTTGGCCCACAACCGATAAAAGCTTTACAGATTCTTCCGTTTCCCTTCAGGTTACAGTGCCATCTGGTTCCCACTGAGCAGATACAGTGCACATGCATGTATGAGGGGTGACTGCTGTCAGCCGAGTCAACAGCGGCCGCTGTGTTTATACTGTAGTAACCATAGGAACACATAAAAGGGAGTTGTTTATTCAGACTGTTCAACTGGGTTCGGGTACAAGTTGGAAACAATATTAAAGTCTTTGATTTGTTGTTGTGAGAGAGATAATGTAATGTAAACCTACAGCTCTGAGGATTCTCTCGCAGCTGCTTGGAAACTTATTGTCCTGCCTTTAGAAAACACTCTGCTCCAGGAAATTTACACAAGACAGAGGGTTTCTTGTGCAAACAGTAAAGGATGACCGCTGCACTGCTTTTTTAGGCAAACACATGTATCACTAATCATTTGTAAAGGGGGGTGTGTGTGTGTGTGTGTGTGTGTGTGTGTGTGTGTGTGGCTCATGTCAGTTGGTGTCATCATGTTATTCGTATCGTGTCTCTAGTCTTTTGTAGTTTGCAGAGATTGTAAAGAAAAGGTGAACGTCCCCTCAGGAAAGCATGGAATGAATTATAATTTACAAGATGATAAACTGACTAATGTGATGAGATGGTGAGTTAGTGTAGACACCACCTATGTGTTAAAATGCTAAATGCAAAACGATGGCAAGCATTTCATCATGTGAAGTCTTTCAGAAGTCTAACATAAGTAAATTAGCAAAATATACTAAAAGCTTTGTTAACATGAAGTAGTACATAATTGCTTGTGCTTTTTTCCCATATACTTTATTTACTAGGGATGCATTTAAGTGTTCTTTTCATTATAGATTATACTACTGCCTTTTTTTATTAATCAATGAAGTGTTTGGTCTATAAAAGATTAGAAAATTGTAACCCATCTTTAAAAGTGAATCAAATGTTTTATAGATTATCACAATAGTTGTTACAATAGTTATTGTTGTAAGCGGTTTTCTGTTTATGAACCAAACTTAGCTCTAATTATTAAATAATTAGAATAAATTATTAAATCATTGTTTATGGGTTTTTATGATAAACATGTTCCATTTATTTTGATATATGGTATATAGACCAAAGGGCGATCTATTATTTATATATATATATATATATATATATAATTTTTTTTTTTTTTGGCTTTTAAAACTATCCAATAAAGTTTGTGGCGGAGTTTCGAGCCCAGCAGCATATTCTCTTCCCGTCTTGCCAGCTTCTGACTGGGAAACTTTCCAAGTCAGATGTTGAAGCAGTGTTGCACCACATTTCAGATTGACTGATGCCACTGGTATGGCTGTCATAAAATTGACATAAAAAAATTCATTCCCCCGCTGGTTCAAAGGATTTGGTCATAATCTATTATTCACTCTCCTGTACCAAAGCCATCACAGATGCCCTTGATGTTAGACAGATTTTTCAGACTGAATAAATTCTCTCTGAGGACTTTTTTAAAGAGACCTAACCCTGTAACTAAACAGTTTTGTGGTAGTCAAAGGTGTTTGCAGCAATCATTTTTATTTTGAAGCTTTCATTTTACCCAGGTGTTCCTAGATTTAAATGCTGCAATTAACTGTGGTGTTCAATATTTTCTTTTTTGATTTGAATTACCTCTACAAATAAAACGGGTTTCTTTTCTTTTTTTTTCTCCAGGACTGCAAATCAATCATTAAAGAATACTGTTTGGTGCGACGTTGATATTCTCTTTCACCCTTTCATAATTCCCACAGGAGTGCCTGCTGTATTTCAAGAGCATAGAAGCATTATGACTTGGTGACAAGACGTTCATAATTAGACATAAACAAAATGCAATCATCACTAAATGCATCTATAATTTTCCATCTTACTGTCTCCCATGTAGAGCCAAACAAGACATTGTGTGTTACTATGGAAACAGAGGCAGCCCTGAACCCATCCATCTAAAACCAGGTCTGTGTTTTTAATATGGTTGCTGTAGAAACTGTTCATTTCACATTTACCTCTCCTCTCGGCCCATTCATGTTAGCCTGACAATTCCACGTTGAACTCAGATTGTCTGTTTATTGGAGGTGGTTCTACAAGGTCACTAACTGAGCTTACTATTGTGTACATTTGTCTGTATTTTTCATGTTCCCCTCAGCAGGAATCTATGGCTTGAGTAATTCGTTGCTGGACACGCCATGGAGGAAACTGCTACAAGGCAAGCGTCACTTCACCAGCGTTGTCAGCGACCAGTCCCTGTCCTGCGATGGACTGGTGCAAGAGCTGCTCAACGTCCTCAATAATGAGGAGCTGTGAGTGGCCAACACTGCTGTAGATTCACACACCGTAACACATTTCATCTTAATTTTAGTTAATGTGTAATCTTATAATAATACTTGATTTAAAGGTTCGGTGTTAGTTTTAGTGGCATCTAGTGGTGAGGGTTGCGAATTGCAATCGGCGTTTAGTGGTGCATTCATGTGCTCCTCGGACGGTCCCATTTCCCAAGTTGTGAAGTTGTTCTTCCGACTTCAGTGTGTGTTCATGTGCTCTTAAGTCAGAATGTGGAATCAATATGGACTCTACTTCAAAGATGTGTTGGATTAGCCTTATCAGAGCAGATAAACAACATTCAGATATCTAGTTCACTCTACATGGACAGCAAACTAATCGTTATAACTATATTACAAATTACATGTTTTGCAAAATATGTATATGCAGTATGTGATTTTTCACAAATAAAAGTTCTGTATACTTTTTATGTCCCATGTACACTTTATCTCTCTTTTTGCAATAGAGATTTAAGGAGGGGAAAAAAAGATTCACATTATTCTGACAGGACATGAATGCACCATCAGTCACCGCTCAGCCCTCCCTTTCAAAGCGCGGAGGAGAAGCTATGGTGGCCGACACGCTCCGTCTGCTCTTGTGCTAAATAATGTGTGGTCGTCCAAATTTCTCTTCTTTTCTTACTTCTAATAAACCAGTCGACGACTACTACTACTAATGTTAGTGCCCTGTAGAGCATTTGTCCATTCGGGCTACTGTAGAAACATGACGGCGCAACATGGCAACGTCCATGTAGGAGGACCCCAGTGTATCTTGATAGAAATGGCTCATTCTAAGGTAATTATCTCTTTATACAGCTTTGTATGCCACTGAAAACATGGTTATGGATATTATATTACATTTTTGTCAATAGATCCTCCTAAATATTACACACTGAACCTTTAACTGTGATTTAAAGGCTTTATGTTCGATGGAAAGCAGTTATGTGGGTTAAATCTGGGTTTATGCCATTGATGGGGTGATAAATGTTTACATGCATTTTTTAAATACATCTACAATCACTGGAAATATGTAGTTGTAAGTTGATGGCGAACGTTGGGAGGATTTTACCAGGTCGGGTGCCACATGTGGGGTAAAACTGATTGTATCAGGGAAGCAGAGCTACTTGGAGCCCCTGGTACATGCCAGACATTCAGAGCCTGTATCAAGTCTCTGAATGAGCTGTTGTGGGGGGTTGCAATTTTAGCTGCACTCAGTGTTGGTTCCTCTTAATAACACTTTTGCTTGATGTTATGTTATGCCAGAGGGATATATGTCTGTACAGTGAATATGAAGCTGCCGTACAAAAAGTGAAGGGATTTGTTTAGAATGTGTCTGATAGGTGGTGATTTGTAGTGATGTGTTTAGCCAGCCGTGTATCGCAACAGCAGAATGTAAACTGAACAGAGTTTGAGTTACTTTTGTTGAAAGAGATGGGCATATGTAGCCTTGACCTAGACATTAATTATGGAGCGTCTTGCCAACTCTCAAACCTTACAGAGAAACCTGGAAACTGACTTTTGCTTATGTAGAAACCACTTCAAGACTCAACTGCATTGCATTGCCTGAGACATTCCCAGAAACAGATTTCAGTGTGCTGTGAGTTAAGAGACTGAACGGTTGCGACTGAAATTTAGTACAAAGTGGGTTAAGGAACCATTTCTGCAGGTGGTGTTTGTACATTTTATCATTTATGGATATTATGGAGTGAGTTGGCTTAAATATGCAGCACGGGCAATATGACAGAGAACAATATATACACTAACTCATGACTCAAAAGGGTGTGTTGTGGTTTTGTTTAACAGGAACACACCTGATCCAGCTCAGGAGAGCCAGGGGGATGGCTACAGCAAGGACATGATCCAGGCTCTGTCAGCGGTGTGTGTTCGCTCCCCTCATTATGGCACAAGGTCAGTGTCTTCCACCCACGCCAAATCTCTCTCCTCTATCTCCCCCTGTTTGATTCCACCTGAGGTGACAAGCAGGATCAGAGGGAACAGAGAACTGTCAGTACACAAAAAATCCCTGTGTAATCAATCCTCCACAGCGAGGAAATGAAAGAGGATCGTCTGCATGGTGGATTAGTGGATACAGAGACTGTCCTGTAGCCAAAAGGTCAGAGGGTCAGTCTTTGCCAGAGCCATCAAAGACTGTCAAAGGCACTGCCACTGCCTGCTCATCCTTGATACGGGTGTTTGCTAAATACCTCAGATGTGACTGTTGAATGATCATAGTTGTTCTCAGAATTACTCCTGCCATCTGCATGTTTTCTTTGATTTTTCTTCTTTCTTTTTTTTTCAAGCATTTTATGTCATTTATTTTATATTTTTTGTCTTTGTTTGCTTGTATCTCCTGTGTCCCTGCTCATTTAGGACCAACACAATTATCCTGATCGACGCAGAAGGCAATGTGACCTTCACAGAGCGCACCATGCCCAACTGTGACACAACAAGCAAATGGAACACCAGTTCTTTCCAGTTCAAACTGCAGGTGTGAAGACGTGATGGAGGAAACCCACTCTGTGCCTTTTACACCCCCCCACCCCCCCCAGCAGCTATGCGAACGTGAACACTCATCTGAACTTTTTCTACAGCTGGTCGGCACTAGCTGCCTCATTGACATCAGTGATATGTATTTCTTATTCTTAATTTAAGGTAAAATCTTTTGAAAATGTGTTCTAATTTAAAAGATTGCCAAAGAACATTTATAATTTTGTAGAGGACAATATTTTACCTACATGTCACAAAACAGCAGGGTTGGGATGCTTCAGTAAGTACAATTACATTACAGATTGCTGGTGGACTGCTTTGAACTGCAATCAAAACTAATATTATTTTATTATTGTTGGTGTCAGATTTATCTTTAAATCCATGATATGGAGTGAATAATATGCTTTATGCACAATTTCCAATTTAAAATTATTTTCTGTTAAACACAATGGGAATTCATGGGGTTGCCCGTGGTGTAATCTTAAATTCACAGTAATTGTCAGAGATTGCCAGCTACTTTTTAAATTCCTGATACTGTAGCCCTGTTACAATTAATGCATTAGTTATGCCCCAACTCTGCACCACAGTGGTCTCAGTGTTGCGTACAACACATTTCAATGTGAAATGCAGAAAGTTTCAGGCTGTGGATCTCTGACAACTTCTGTGGTTGAATAATGCCTTTTACAGCTGCTTGACAATAAAAACAATTTATCTAAACGCTAGCATTTGGCTTACATATTGTGAATGTTGAATTAATAGACAAACACACATTGAGAAACCCACATTTTTTAGTAACCAGATGTGTTCATACACCTGTCTGTTGATTTCTGCTTTTTACTTTAAATCAAAAAGACAGCTGGTTCTCACGAACACGCGTTACTCATACAGAGATTGGGATGCTAATTCAACAGGAAAAATATTCATACTGAAGATGTCTATGTGCAAATATTTAATATATTTTATCAATTCATAGGAGCCCTCTATAAATTCTGCACTGAAAGAGTCTTAAAGTGTAGAGGGGTTAACCAGTGTTCCCCTCGATTGTCATCTCTTTAGGTACACAAAAGCACAAGAACAAACACTTGCTATGACTTGTGAATCTTTTTTTTTTTCTGTAGAGGAGAGCGGGGTGATTTGAGCCTGTGGTGAGTCACCCATCCATTTTACTCGCCCTGTGATGGACAGAAGTCCATCAAATAAGTCATGAGCACATTTAGGTTACAAAAATGGGGTTTTTTTGCCATTTAAAGTGAGTTTTTATGTTCAACTACATGATTCTTGTGTCTCAACAATTAAAGAGAAGTTTGAAAAAATCTAATGTGTTAGTGCTGTAGGAAGTCACAATATGAGGCTATACTGTTAGCATGACGTTACCTCTAAACTGCTGGCTGACACTAAAATGACAGATGGGTTAAATTGAGCCAGCTATCATTAATCATTTTTATAATTATGTGACATGAATTGTAAACCAGAAACCATCGTGCTTCTATAAATGGAAGACAGACAGGGCTTCAACTCCTCTTGTGGATTTGGACAGAGCAGTGGGAGAGATAAGAACGGGAAGTCCATACGTCAGGTGGCACGCCACATGAAGATCAACAGGATGGCTTTGAAATGATACACTGATATGAAATAAATGAAACATCAAAAATAAAGCTCCAATGTTTCACAATCCAAGTGCAATAAAATGTTGTGAATTGGCATTTGAGTTGGCATGATGAAATGACACTGATGTCCCTGAACCCCAAGCGGCTCAATTTATCCTTTCCCTAGGCTCAACTTACCCCTCATTGTTGAGCCAAGGAACCACTTTGTGATTATTCACAGGGATGCACCACATCCTGAAATATATCTCCATATTTTAGTCGGAGACATCACTGTCTTGTCCTTACTTTAAAGACGCTTCAATCAAAAAGTCATCTCACCCCGCTCCTACTTTGATCTACTGTGAGTTACGGGTATTCATTCTAGTATCTATGAGGGCCATGTATACTCAGTGTCCTGTGTGTGGCTGTACCAGTCAGTGTACAACAAACAAATTCTCCACAAAAATGTTAATTGGCCTTTTACACAGGTGACATTTTGACATGTCACAGTAGGAAAAGTATAGGTGCAAATTATAAAATTATTAAAGGACACTTTAAACAATGAAAATGTCTGTTGTGATTATTATCTATGGTTCTGAACAAGACAAAATTACAGACATGACCAAAATCACTGCATTAATTGCAAATATAAAAAGATGAAAGATTGCTGTTCTTGCATTGACATTTAGCTAAATAGGATGTTAATTTGAGTCTTAACATAATTGATTTTTGTGTGTTAAAAATATCCCCACAACTTACCCCATCTTTATAAAAATTAAAACAGCAATTTAACAAACCATCTCCACTATTCCTGTATTTTTTTAATGATCTAGTAGCCTACTGTTAGTAAACAGTGACCCCGGCTGGCAAGTTGAGAAATTGTGATTCACATTCTCTTCAGGAAATCATATAACTATATAAACTCAGCAAAAAAGAAACGTCCCTTTTTCAAGACACTGTTTTCAAAGATAATTATGTAAACATCCAGATTACTTTACAGAACTTTATTGTATTGTATTATGTCATGCTTGTTCAATGAACCAAAAACAAGCAATGCACATGTGGAATGGTTGTTAATACACTAACAGCGTACAGACGATGGCCAGTTACAGTTATAAAAACACCTAAAGAAAGGTCCCCCACGGTCCCTGCTCATCTGCAAGAACGTGCCTTAGACATGCTGCAAGGAGGCATGAGGACTGCGGGTTGGACAGCGAGACAGGGAAGACAGCTGATCTTCCCCGCAGTGGCAGATCATGCACCAACACCTGCACAGGACTGGTACATCAGAACATCACCAGGAGCAGACAAAAAGAACAAAAAAAACAAACAACATTTCAGATCTTTTTTTGTCTTTGATGCATAAGCCTAAAGTCCACTGTGTTGTGTGGTGCAGAACTTGCCACAGAGAGGTGAGGTAGGTGCTTCCAATACAGAGGCTATAAGTTAACAGACATTTCGTTGCTAGAACAGTTTATAGCAACTACAATATTGACAGACTAATAGGCTTTTCATCTGTGAAATAATAGGCCTATCTGTGATACTCATATTCATTCATCTCTAACACTTTGCAGTAATTCATTTATATGCTGAATGCAATGTGCTTCCGTATGCCGGCTGTATGTTTGTATTAAAATGTGTTTCCAGGACACAAATTTTTAGTTAAACAATTAAAAGTTTTTAAAACAAACTTTCCAGACTTGCTTTTTTTGTGAACACCATAGATTCACATAACACGTTGCTCTTCGGCCAAAATGTGTAATGCTGATTGGATGAATGATACCAGGTGGTGTCGTGGAAGGACGCTCCCATTGGCCCGCTGATCGATCAATTTCCAAAAAGCCGGTACCGGGAGGCGGGGCTTGAGTTGGTTTGCCGCTGTGGTTTTATTCAAGATGGCGGGGCTGCAACTCGGGCAGTATGGCGGCGCGTCGAGAATTGTAAAATGATTTAGAAAGGTAGTTAGGTGCCCAGTAGGAGACAAGTTGTGTCACATTTTTCGGTGAGTATTTCTGTAATTAACGGTTTTCAGGCTAGCTGACAGTTCAGACCCGGAGATCTGTTACAGCCTGATTGATGTTGCTTTTTAGCATGTTAGCATTGATGTTAACGGCCCGCTGTGCAGCTGGAGACTGAACAGATAACGTTACGCTAAAACGATGAATTTGCTTGTTATTTGAACTTGGAAGAAACGCAAATCATATTAAGTTGCATAGTTAGTGGTTAAAAATCCTCATATTAATGACATCTGCTCTGAACGTGTTACTGTTCCTCCTTTTTTTTTTTTTCTAGCTTCCAGAAGATACCAGTGGAGGATGATCAGAGACTAGATCCCATATTAAGCTGAATGCATTGTGATTTCCAATAATTGAGACAGTGATTCTGAAAGCTGTCTGCATTAATGAAAAGAACAATGTAGTCAGCTTAGCATTTTCACCTCTGGTACGTGGTCTATACAGGGATGTGCTTCTGCATGCATTCTGGATTTAGATAAGAAGAAAGTATCTCAACAGGTCAGATTTTTAGAATAAATTATCAGTATAAGTTGTAGAAATGGAGATAGATGATGTTCTACCCCCTCTCCCCTTGGAGTCACCTGATGATTTTGGCCAAGATGAAGGCAGAGCACCTCCACCACCTCCCCTGCAAACGTCCAGTGACGCAGAGGTAATGGACGTTAGCTCTGGTGGTGATGGATACACCTACACCCCAGGGGACGGGGAACCCCAGCCACAACAGCCCATCAGCATGGGCTCAGTAACTTTCTGTAGCCACCTCTCAGATGAGGCCAATCCCAACCCACCGTGCCCCAGAACAGCCCGCCACGCTCCCCCGGTCACCAACTTTCTACCAGACCTCAAGCTGCTCAAAGATGTTAAGATCCGTGTGAGCTTCACTGAAAGCAGCAGTAGCAAAGACAGGAAGGTTTTGTACACAGGTGAAGGGCAGGAGGGAGGAAGTGATGATGGTTTAGACAGCATGAATGGTGAGTTGCATGACTCGAGTGAGCAGGAGGTAGCTGAGGGTAGCTCTGGAGCAGGAAACGTAGCAGGCAGAAGATCAGAGGAGGCTGAGGTAGACGTGGAAAACAAGGTAGAGTTCGCTGTCCTGGATGAGTTGGATGACTTCTACGAGAACTTCCTGGATCATGACGATGGGGGTCATGGCGGCTTTAAGTCTCAGGTCATAGTTCAGCAGGAGCAAGCAGATGACGAGGCTGTGACTTACGCCTACGAGGTACGTCTCTTCTTATGTCTGCAGTATCCCATGTCATTATCAACTGCACACCCAGTTTATCCTTTTTACTGTCAAACTAAAGTAATGTACTCCAGCGCATACAGTACACTCAAAACAGGGCATTATTAGCACTGTCATTCAACACAGCCTCCCCTGTCATTTTAATGACACCACTGGCACATGGGGTGAAAAAATAGAAGGGGGGGGGGGAAACAAGGTTAAAGATAAAAAAATATATATGTAGCACTGAGTGGGCCAATCAAATATATGCAAGTGCTAATTCTCAGGATGAAACCATGTAACTTTAACAGCAATTTTGCTGTTTAACTCTTAACTGGGTTGTAGTGTGGACTAAGAATAACTAGAACTGAATCATAGGGCCAGAAAAGTTCACGTTAAAATGATTTCTTGTTCCACTTCAGACCTTTTCTGCATCAATAGGTGTGACTGGTTAGGCCAGAATCAAATGTGCCATTAAGCAGCATACATTTAAATGTTTGTTTGCTTTTGTTTTGGTTTTTTATTACTGAAAGTGAGAAGTGAGATGCTGGAAGAGGTTAGTGCCATTTTAATTTCTCCCATGAAATGATGGGTTTCCTTTTGACACAAAAATAATCAACCGTTAAACAAAAAAAAGGACGGATCGATGCTGCTAAAAATGTGTCATTTAATTTGTAGTAGGAGTTAATATAGGTTCAATAATATCAGTTTCTAAAGTTAGAAGTATTTTATTTTGATGCCCCAAAGTGAAACTTCCTATATTTGTGGTAGGTGTGTTGTTTTGTTTTTTTCTCCAGCAATTGTTCACTTTATGTCATCACATCGATTTAAAAGTTTCTTCTCAGGCGAAGCATTCAAAACTTCCTTAAACTGGTGATCGATCCTTCTCTCCCGGCCTTAACCATTGACTTTTCCAGGAGGAGTTTGACAATGATGTTGATGCTCTGCTGGAGGAGGGCATGCCAGTCCCAAAAAAGATGCGTCTGGCAGACGACAAATGTGGCGCAGACAGTGATCATCACTCAGATGATGAAGGAGGTGTTCAGCCCATGATGACCAAAATTAAGACTGTCCTGAAGAGTGAGTGGTGGATCTGTCTGTTTTAGGGTTGGGTACTATCAAATAATTTGCTATTGAATGTAATTATAGTACCTTGGGGCAGTGTGTGTGCTAGATGACGTGTTACATCTGTTACATAAGTGTACTTTGAGGTGAATTGATATTTGCAGTATTCAGTATTATGTAACACAATTTGTGTGTATTGCCAATATACAGACGGGTGACGAACATCTAGTAGGGTCGGGCGATGTCTACAAAATTTCCATCGGACGTTGGCTACAATGAAACAACTTGGTTCCCTATTACGTTACAAGTCACGGACCACGTAAAGCTATAGTGAACACACAGTGTAGATGTTGGTTTTGGTTTCATAGGCTACATCTTTAACAAGCCAGCACGCGCCGCACCTGTTGTCGTGATAACGGATCGCGGGTGGAATAATATGTAAAAAAGACAAGTTCTGTGTCTTTTAGGCAGCTTCATGATAAATACTGCTGATGGAGAAAGTGGGGCAGACAGGGGGGAAAGAGAGGCAAACGGGATTTTGGATGACGATGTAGACAAGGACCAATCACTGAATAGATTTCCTTACGTCAGAATAGTCTCAGATAAATTCACATTGAATGGTTAAAATAAAAGTTTGCATTTGACAAAGAATTTTCAAGAGAATACGTTAATATAAAATATAGAAATGAAAGGAAAAAAACATATGTGCCATCAGTTGCGCCTACTCCTCCTGGGAAGCTGGCTATTTGCATGAATTGTGTTTCGTCTGTTGGATTACAAAGGGTGGTGTTGGGAGGACGATGAAACGCGTGACAATGTGTGGAGTTGTGCCATAATTGTTTACATGCCCCTAAATCATCAGTATTGCTGCATTTGTCCCATGGCAAAGAAAGCATCACCATCTTCAATTTTGCTAAAACGCATTGCTGCATAGGTGAGATGACGGCCCTCACTAACTCGCTGACAGAGATGATGCCTGCTCTGTCCAAACGATGCTGAGTAATTAACATTGTCAAAAAATTCAGACACATTCTTCCCCTGCTGAAATATTCGCACACGTCTCCACAGCACGATCACAAGCCCCTACTGGCAACTCCTAACCACTTGAGAGACCTCTTGAGCTGTTTGAAATAACTGGGAGAGTAAGAGTGATTCTTAGCTTTAAGACATTTGATAACTTGCTTTTATACTTAAGTTTGAAAGTAGAAGTAAATTTCATGAATTCTCAGCACATAAGACTAATTTAGACTAGTAAGGCTAGTTTATTTACTGCAACCCCCCCTATAATATCCCCCTCTATGTAAAGGTCGACGGAGTTTTCTTCCTGACATAGTCTAATCACATCCCACATTGACATCCTCCTGAGTCACCTGACAAAGGTCACACGAAATGTGCACCCTATTCACCGATGTCTTTCCCAGAGATCTAAACTTAAGTCACTGTTCCTGTTTAATCGCGAGCCAGTTGAGCAGTCTTGGTGACTGAAGCTTCTGCCATGCGTGCCCCAACAATTATCCCCCTCAGAGTCGCTTAGATCTTTTCCTGTTGTCATCTTGTTAGAAAGTCAGAATCAACGTGGCCTGCTCAGCATTTAAATTCATGCCACAGAGCATGATTGGATGTTAGCTGCTTAACTTTACTTTGCTTTTTGTAATTGTAGATTACAATAAAGGGTTTCCTTGAGGGAAACTGGTTAGCAGAAGTGGTAAGACCTGCACAACTAAAATGAACAACCAAGGAGCCCTCTTTTCTTTGTTGTAGTCCTCTAAAATAGTATCACAATCGAAAGCACACACTGATGGGCACCTATTTTTAAAAGAATATTTACACTGGTGTTTGTCAGGTGGTGAGATATTTTACATGCAAGAACTCATGTAACTAATCAGGTTTGAAATTCTGATTGTGAACAAGTAAACGTTTTAGTCTGAAAGGTTTAACCAATCAGCATAAATATTACAAATTCAAAAAAACTTGTGTTAGAAATGAGTTTTCAAATTGCGTTTTCTCTTCTCACTATGTTCAAACAAGCTCATTGTTCAAAAGTGTTATTTAAGGCATGTGACCTGAACTGCTGATACTTTCTTAATCCAACTAGCTGGAAGTAGTGGGGAATTAAAGTGTGCATGTAGGTAAATGTTTCATCTGAGTTCATTTTGTATAGTCTAAAGTTAAAATTTATCTGACCCCTCAGTTGCATGTTTTGTCCTAACCCTTGTATTTATTCCAAGCCCCAAAGTTAAACGTAGCCCAACGTGAATATCTTTTCAACTGCTCAAAATTACTTGTGTGGTTACACAAAATAGTCTTCTAACAATTGTTAGAAAAGTTCACCGCACACAGAAAGCATGTAGTAATTAAGGGCCTGCATTTACATTTATGTTTTCCGCTACACCAGGTCGGGGGCGTCCGCCCACTGAGCCTCTACCTGATGGGTGGATCATGACATTCCATAACTCGGGCATTCCAGTCTACCTGCACAGAGAGACCAGGGTGGTCACTTGGTCCAGACCCTACTTCCTTGGAACCGGCAGTATTAGGGTAAGATGCAACAATGCATACTGATATTACTTTGATATCACAGCTGCTGCTTCAGGTCAAATGAGTTTCTGCTTTGGATCAAGTCCCTTAACAGAAAGCTGCCACGCTGTATTTCATTTTTAGCCACAAGTGGAAAAACAGCAACTTGGAAGAATGAACTTTTTTTTTTTTTTTTTTTTAAGGTTGTGGAAATAATTCAGTTTAGATCTTGAAAGTCAGCCATTTGTGTCAAACAGACAATACTGTTTGTAGTGGCAATTGTACCACAAAATAGCCACTTGCCACTAAGAAAATCCATCACGAATATACACACATGCACGCATACACGGTTGAAAAACTGTGGCTTCCTCAGATCCTAATTCCCCCAGCTGTTCACCTGTGACTCCCTCCATTTAGCCAACGTAACCACTGTGATGCACAGGTGGAAGAGCGACCTATACAACTTTACCACAAACACACAACATATAGCACACATCAAAATTGGCTACAACACTGTTTGCAAATGTTTTAACAACTCTCGGCCTTCTTCTTTGATACAGAAACACGACCCTCCTACTAGCAGCATCCCTTGCCTACACTACAAGAAAATGAAGGAACATGAGGAAAGGGAACTGAATGGGGAAGTGACAGTTAATGCAGGGGAGTCTCCAGTCAAGCCCAGTCAGGTGGCCAATGGCGAAGAGAGAGCAGGCAAGTCGGATGCTACAGCTGAGGAGCAGGGCGACGTCCCTCCCCCTAGTCTGACTGGCATTTGCCCAGGTGGGGAGGGTACCGTTGATAAGAACTTGCAAGGTAAAGAGTCCCAGCCCTGTGACACTGCCCAAGGAGCCTTAGGACAAGTCAAGGCCAAGGTTGAAGTGTGCAAGGACGAGTCCATAGGTAAGGGCTTTTTATAGCACATTGCTAGTAATAGACTTTTTGGAAAGGTCATTATTATGTGTTTCCTGATCAAGCTTCAGCAGGTCATCTAACTTGATAAAAAACCTCCTCACAGAACTTGAAGAGTTTCGCCTGTACCTGGAAAAATGCTTTGACTTTGAACAAGTCACTGTCAAGAAGTTTCGTACCTGGGCTGAGCGAAGGCAGTTCAACAGAGACACAAAGAGGAAGCAGGCAGAGTCCGAGAGACCTATCCTGCCTGCCAACCAGAAACTCATCACACTGTCTGTCCAAGATGCCCCCACTAAGAAAGGTAATTTCATACAATTCATGTTTTTTTAAGAAGACGCCAGGTGTTATTTTTCATTATTAGTATCCAACGAAACCTTAAAAAATGACAATACATGTATCATGTGCAGATCCGGATGATCTCTTCCTTTAGTCTTGACTCTTCTGCAGTGTAGTTAAATGAACTTGATATCTTTCTCTTTTAAACGTTTAAGCAAAACCGGTGGAAATCAAAATCTTTAAAAAGCCTCAAGTCAATGGGTGTTATTTCTGAGTATGACTTATCTGTACTGTAATTGTTTAATTTGTCTTTTCAGCATATTGTTTGTTTGACGCATTTCAATGTTTACATTTTAACAGAATTTGTGATCAACCCCAACGGAAAGTCTGAAGTTTGCATCTTGCATGAATATATGCAACGTGTCCTAAAGGTTCGACCTGTTTACAACTTTTTTGAATGTGGTAAGTTTTTCTTTTGTAAGTGTTGTGAGGGATATTAAGTCCTCTTGGCGCTCCTTGCCTGATCAGGAATACGTTATTTAAGGCGAGACACTGCAGGTGAATAGGGTAAAAAAAATTGTAACTAATAGATATCACCATGAATGTTGATTACTCACATTAAGACTTTTTTTTTTTTTTTGTATTACATGTTTTCTGAAATTTATGTTTAAATATGCACTAATTTTCATCTATTTCAAGAACTGAAATCTAAACACTGGTTTAAGTCAGGTTCAAAATGATTGTTTTATTTTGTTGACACATTATATTCAAATGTTTTCACCGAGGGGATTTTGCATATCTCTCTTTGTATTATTTCATAAATCAAAAATACTGTCAGCAGGCATAAAAAAACTGCCCCAAATCGACCAGTGCATGAGAAAACGATGTTTTTGCCTGCCGTGTCTCGCCTTTAAGAAAATAAAATCTTCTACAACTCGGTGCACATTTTCATGAGCTCCCTCTGAAGTCACACAAATGCGCCCGTGTGCACACAAAACTATTTATCTCTTTTTATAAATAAAAGTTTCAAGTGTGGTGTTGTCTTTACAAGATTTTCATATCAAATCAAACTGGATTTGTTTGCCCCACAGAGAACCCAAGTGAACCCTTCGGAGCGTCTGTCATTATAGATGGAGTAACTTACGGCACAGGAACCGCAAGCAGTAAAAAACTTGCCAAGAATAAAGCTGGTAATTTATGTTATTTACAGTACTTAGCAGTGTGATAGATTGGTTGGTGTACAACTGAATATACACTCTACTAGCTCTTCTGTAAGTGGGTTAAGACAGCGGGATTATGGTGAGATCTACTAGAGGATTTTTTAAATCCCCATAACTGTAAATATTTATTACATTGTCTTACAGTAATGATCAGTTTAAGAGCTTCATGCAAAGAAACAACATCAATATTTATCATGTTTGACAGGAATAATAGTTTTCATCAGCTGAATAAATACCAAATCCTTACCTAGTTTGGTGTAGCCAGAGTTGGAATGAGTCCATCTCTTACCCACTTAATTTCCTCAGTTATAATATTCTTACTATGTACATTATGTAGTTCCACTGGTAAATTAGCATGTTGTAATGTGTCACTTGCTCTGCTCTCACTGCTAATTTGCTGTGAACTTCAGCTCGAGCCACACTGGAAATCCTCATCCCTGACTTTGTGAAGCAGACCTCAGAGGAAAAGCCTGTTGAGGGCGACGAACTGGAGGTATTTCTTTAATGTTCTCACCTGGATTCCTGTTCATTTAAGAGTGCGTATCCCCAACATTGACGGCGGATAATATGAGTTTTGTAAACAAGAATTGTTAGAATTAGAGGTAGCACAACAATGGTAACATTGCGTATACTGTGCTCCACAGTATTTTAATCATATCAGTATAGAAGACTCGAGGGTGTACGAGCTGACCAACAAAGCGGGACTACTTTCGCCATATCAGATTCTTCATGAGTGCCTTAAAAGGTAAGCAGTAATCCATAATCCCATCAATACAGTACATTTTGGGTGTGTCAAGTTTACATCTTGTAAGATATCAATCTATACGGCAGAGTAGGATAAAACACACATGATCTTACAGTACGTGGCAAGTAAGTAAGTAATTTGCAGTTAAATCACTTATAAACTTTTATTTTTACATATTTTGAAGAGTTTAGTCTGATGCAGTGCATTACACTGCTGGGTAGAACATGTCCTTTTTTAGCATTTCTGATACTGTTTAAAGCCACTGGCGGGCAGTTGGGCTTTCACACAACTCTGCATCTGTCATTGTTGCTACTTTTAATGGCCTATTCTCACAGGACAACCAAGAAGCAGATTACAGATAATAAAAGCGTACTGTTCTGTCTTTCCTGTAGAAACCATGGAATGGGAGACACCAGCATTAAATTTGAGGTGATCCCAGGGAAAAACCAGAAGAGTGAATACGTGATGACGTGTGGGAAGCACACTGTGCGTGGCTGGTGTAAGTAAACCAAAATCCATATTTACGCACAGTAAGAGATTTTAATTACCAAGTCCATGGAGCTAACTAAGTCTTCTACAGACTAGTAACATATATGTAGCTTCACTAACATGTTTTGTATATTTTGCCACCAGGCAAGAACAAGAGGGTTGGCAAACAACTAGCATCGCAGAAGATCCTGCAGATGCTTCATCCTCACGTCAAGAACTGGGGTTCACTGCTGCGCATGTATGGCAGAGAGAGCAATAAGATGGTCAAGAAGGTAAGTAAACCTGTAAAGCTTCTGTAGACATGGGAAAACTTTCGGTTTTATTTATCTTTCTGTTTTATGTTGAGCTTCATTTTACACATTAAGGTCAACAGTGAAATCCCAAAAGCAATTAAAATATCTTTCAGCATTAAACCCTCACCGTAGTAACCTGCAGCTTTGTAATGGAGGTAGTTTGTCATGTTCGTGTCTGATATTTTGCAGGAGAACTCTGACAAAAGTGTCATCGAGCTCCAGCAGTATGCCAAAAAGAACAAGCCAAACCTTCATATCTTGAACAAACTGCAAGAAGAAATGAGGAAATTAGCCATGCAGCGGGTGAGTTTCCTTTTGTGTAGCGTGCAGAAATTGTCAGTTTTTTATTTTAGAAAGTGTTTATCCTGTATGCCAACATTGGACAGTATTTAGATTATTTGGTTTCAAACATGAATAAAAGTAAAGTGCCAAGCCAAAGCAGACATTTTGACTTCTTGTAGTAAAAATCACAGATGTTAACTACAGTAGTTAAGTCAGTTTTATTTAAATAGCCCAACATCACAAATTTGCCTCAAGGGGCTTTAAATTATGTACAGCACAATGTCTCCTCTCTTCTTAAATTAAAGATAATTTCGATTTGAAAACGATGAATCATTCAGCCCTAGTTTGTATTTTAGATTTGGGGGTTTTCTTACTTGCCATGTCTTTACCACTTTCTGAATGTACTCCTCATATTATGATTACTGTATTTCTGTACCAGGAGGAAACTAGGAAGAAACCCAAGATGACTATAATGGAGTCTGCCCAGCCAGGGAGTGAACCCCTCTGCACTGTTGACGTTTAAGTCTCGGAATCACTGATGAACCACGGCACTGAAACCCCAGTCACTGTCAGACATCACCACCATCCATCTCTTACTTATGCATCACTGAGATCTAATGGCAATATAGCTACACGTCGTTTCATTGGTTAAGCTGGTACAGGTAGGACTAAATGCACTAACAGACAGTAGAGCAAATATCGTCTACCTCTCTAGATGCATCCTCACTATGGCGCTAGAAGAAAATCACCCAGGCTGCAGAGAAGTTAACATGACTTGATAGCACATGAACCACAACAGAAATAAAAATGCATGCTTCTTTCACCACAAAAGCCACTACACACACCTTGGTTTTGTTTTGAAGTGGTGTTTTTAACAGTACCAGCACCTATTAGTTTTGTTTGTGCTTTAAAGTATTTGAAAGGGACTACTAATACGTGTGTGTTTGTGTGATAAACAAACTTATTAGGTATTTCAGTGGTTGGTGTTATGGATATTATGGGTGATGAATACAAAAAAAACGGCGTTTTGTTTTTCCTCAGAATGGACAGTTGCTCTCTTGGTTTGCACGATTTACAAACATGTTGTGAAGTGATCGTTATTCAGAACTATTGTTATGCACTTGTCTCCTGTCGGATATTTCTGTTGACTGATCATGCTTGTTGGTACAGGAACAACTGCTTTTGAGATATTTGGAGGGACTTGTTGCCTTTTTTCCCCCCCCTCACCCTCTTTTGCTTTGGCAATGCAACAAACTGATGTCCTGCTCCCATGCTGACACTGCAGTAAACCCAAGCACAGGGCCACAGAGTACTGTAATGTTTAAAGTAAAGAATTTATTTTATACTCTTAACGAATGCCATGCACACAAACTAACCACTTGTTACATTTCAGTAGCTTTTCATTTTTTGGTGCCCTTAAGAAATCACGTTGGCTACATGTTGCCTTAGTTAATCCATTTCAGGAAGGGCTCAGAGTATATACAGTACATTGGACCTAAAACACCCTTCAGCAGGAAGTGGAAAGACCAAGCCCCCTTTACTTGATAAAGCATTTATTCTTTAGCCAATTAGTATTTGAATGAAGACAGCCTGAAAAACATCAGATCCTGCATGTGCAGATTTTTAAGACTCGTCTTAATGGATTGTGTACTTTGTTTGTGTAACTTTGCCTTCATTGTGACAGTTGAGCATATTTTAGCATACATTTTTCAAAAGGCAGCCTTGCAAAATGTAGTTTGTACACTGAACAACATGCGATTTAGTCCAACACAAGCTGGTGAAAAGTGTGTGTGTGTATACCAAAGCTTACTTACAGTCTTATGCATTTTATAGAATAATGTTGCTGCAAACTGTACAGTAGAAACATCTAACACACAAAAATACATAGATGCATTACTTGCTGGAACAAAATAGAAACTGCTGTGCATTATTTGGCTTTTTTTACAACAAAAACCCATCACAGTTTAAACACAAGGCTGTTGTGATATTGTAGATTAATTTAAGAATGTGCTTTCCCCTCTGCGCTTGTTATCTTGCCAAGTGTCAGTGTGAGAAGAGAAAAAAAAAAAATACTGCTTTTACATGTTGCTGTTGAGTTGTCCCAATGTCTTGTTTGACATGTTGCTGCCTAGAAAATGAAGTATGTATTGCAACCTGAGCTCCATGACTTCAGTGATATTTGTTATGCAAAATAAAATGTCTTGACTAATGACTAGAACGGCTTTGTTTCTTTCAGCCGCAGAAAGATGAAACACGAAGATGAAACACGAGGAAGGAACTCTCTAATACCCACTTGTGCAGCAGTGTCCTTATTAAAAGTAAAGGGACTATGGGCAAGCAGTTTTAACATTAATCCTGAAAACTTACTAGTATGTGTTACTAGTAACTATAGCACATTTTTTCCATTGAAATCTATGGGAGTCTGCAGTTCAGATCTCACCTATTCATTAGTTACTGGTCACTAGGATCTAAATTAGATCCTAGTGCTTTTTTTTTTTTTAGTTACTAGTAACAATTGAAATGTTACTAACAAGCCATTTTACTAGTCATTGAATGACTAACCAAGGAAAATATACTAGTAGGTACTAGAAACTGCAGAGCCCCATTGATTTCAATGGCAAAAATCTGTTACTAGTACTTGATTTATAGTTATTAGTTACTAGTATGTATTTAATTGTTACTTGAATAGAGACTATTAAGTTTTAAGGAATGTTAAAACTGCTTGCCATAAAGGGGACAGTCCATAAAACTCAGTTAATCAAAATGCAGTACACACACACATTCTGTATTAACACCAGTTTATTGGAAGCACAAATTAATATTGCATTATAAAACAACAAGGACTTTACTGGATTAATGGTAAATTATGTTGTTTGGGTAAATTAACGCTTTTAAAGTAAAGGCCTGATACTTCAACAAATGAGAGGAAGGCTCCTTAGATCTCTTGTACGGAAAGCCTATCAAACTGCGCAGGATCTGTTTCTAAGGCTAAGACCCTGTCTCTTCCTGAGTGCTGCCGGCCTGCTGCTGGGAATTGTAGTCCACTCTCTCCAGCAGCAGAAGCATCTCCACGTGCATGGTCTGAGGGAACAGATCCACAGCCATGGCCCGCACCGGACGGAATGGGGCCCCATGAACTCTGTTGGACGGCGCTCTGCACAGACTAAAAGACAGAATTTATTTTTTTACCATTTTATACAATCACCTGCCATCAAAATAATATTGGTAAGATATTAAACACTCACTCGATGAAGTTATTCATGGCTGCCTTAGCGTTGCACGCCACATAAACCAGCCTCTTCAGGTGCTCTGCCCTCCTGATGGCAAGTATCACCTTGGAATCTTTGTTTGAAAGGAAGACAAGAACTAGTACATGATGGATCTTGAAATGAGTGAAAAGTCATTTTCATGTTTTTAGCTTGTTAACTCACGAAGGCCTGCCCTCGGCGGATCCACAACGGCTGTGATGTTGGGTGACACGAGCGCGTTGAGAATGTTGGGGAACACATCCTCAGCTTTTCCACAGTGAAACTCAACATTACTTAGACCTTCAAATGCAAACATATGAAAAACAGATTTAAAAAAAACAACAAACTGAATAAACACTTGTCGTTGATCACGCTCTAGTTATGAAGGAAACTAGAGGATCTAATTTGCAAAAAGGTAATTTTGTGAAACCATGACTGTTGTCATCAATACCTTATTTATGACTACAGGCTTTAAGCTTCCTGTTTTTCAAATTAAGGAAGATTTTTTGATTTTTGTTAGGGGCCTTGCTTATTTTATTGAGGGATTTTAGAGCATTTTCTGTGGAAGTTTGTCATTTGCTTTAAACACACTGGGGGGCTCTTGCTCTCAGGAGAATATTTACATTTGATGGAATGAGTCATATGCCATAAAAAACAGTGTCTTGGAGTTGAATATTTCACGTAGGACATTAATTAAGAACTGGAACAAGCAGATACGTACAGTAAGTCTTGTAAACATAAAGAAAGTTTAGGGGAAATTTCAGAGGAAAGTCAGGATAATGACAAGTTAATAAGTGCAGACAGACAATTATAAAGCTTTTATGGAACAATCTATCTACAAATTGGAAAAATTGCAATAAGTTTACATAGTTTATCTATAACTGGTCATTACTATTTATTTTATTGAGATCTATGTCTTAATGGTAGCTGTGTTTTTTTGCCCTGAATAATTCCAATTTATACATAAAGTCTGGGGAAACGACAACCACAAAATCTACTGACATCTTATACCCATACTGACCTTCCTACGTGATGTCACACACAAATGACTGGCGGTAGCTTGACCTTATCTGGTCTCTTACCATTGAGCTTTGCGTTAACTTTGGCATCCTCCACTGCTTCCTGGCACAGCTCGATCCCAATCACCTTCTTTACCCTCTGGGGGCAAAAGTCCAATGGAAAAAAAACATCAGAACCTCCATTTTCATCCAAGACGGACTATAAAGTGTCAAAAAGGGGTTTTGTTTGCAGACTTGTTACATCCCTTTGCCAATAACTGCACAAACCCTGACGCAGCAATTTATTACAGAGTAGAGGTCGCTGTATGCGTTGTTATGTGTGGTATTATCCTTTGCAGTAATCTTAAAGGTCTAAATGCTATTTCAAAGCTCTCATCACACTGACAGGAGTTAGATTCTGGTTAAAAAAATACTGATTTATCTACTTGGCCTAAAAGTTGTCAAATTTGGTTACAAATTTTCTAACAAGTTTCTTCTATTATAGTGGAAATACAGTGCCTAATTGGCACACTTCTAGTTAATTAATTAATTAATTCCAGTTAATTGTTATGACAACTTTTTCAAATTATGAAATCTCTTCTACAGGCAAACATACAATACAATATATATTTAGAATAAAGACCTTGAGATAATTTAAAACACCAAAAACATGATGTGGAAGTCATTAAGAAAGTGCATGTGCAGACTGATACAGTATCTGTTACTAACTCATATAAAAACAAAATAAAACAAAATGCCAGGTGAATGAAGTTTCTGTTACATAACTAACCTTAGCCAGAGAGATGCCGATGGTTCCCGTCCCACAGCACACATCCAGTACTGTGCTGTCCTGATCCAGCTTGGCCCATTCCCCCACAGCAGAGTACAGCACCTCTGCAGCGCCTGTATTCACCTGCCATGCAACACACACACACACACACACACACACACACACACACACACACACTTACAATTACAATTACAGAGACCACAGCTGGAACCATCGTGCATTTGTGGGTTGTAAAATACAATACAGCACTCCAGAAATGCTCCAGTGCAGGTGTTCAGAGACGAATGGGGAATAGCCTGTACTTAGTTAGTGTGAACAGTGAGTGACTGTATAAACTTTTAGGAATTTGCTGGAAAAGAACATGCGGTTGTGGAAATGTTTGGAAGTAAACCTTTCTTACCTGGAAGAAGGAGTGAGGAGATATTCTGAACTTGAGACCCAGGAGTTCCTCATGAATGCAGCCCTCTCCAGCCACCAGCTCACAGGGCAAGTCCACCACGTTAGGAGAAGTCCTTGAAAGCCAAAGACATTTCTCATAGTCTGCTCTCCAAAGTTCACCCTTTTGACCCCCACAGCATCCTGATTTTTTCTTACCTTTGACCCTCCCTAACAAAGTAAAGAGAGGTTACTCCGCTGTCTTTCCCCTCTCCTTCTGTAAAGTACTCCTTCATGGAGCTCTTTAACGCATTGACCTCCTCCTCTTCAAGTTTCTAGGGAGTCATTAAACAAGTAAAAGAAATTTGAAAAAAATTAAATCTAACAATGTTCGATTCCATTTTCTGAAACAGGACCAAACACACACGTTGTAAACAGAACATTTCCTCACCTGTGGGTTGAAGAACACTACAGCCATGGCTTGTTTGGTCCTCGTAGTCCGTACAGTCAGCTGCTTCCAGTGGCCTTCATATGTCTCGGGACTGTACACACAGTATGGTGTTGTCCTGCAAGATTAAATGCAACAGAGGAACCATTTTAGTTTTCTGGGTTGAGACTAGGCTCCGATGCAAATCTAGCTAACGAAATAGCTCGTGGAAACTGCCTATATGCCTATGTTGTTGTGGACCATCATGATGGTGTAATAATACCTGATGAACTTCTGAAACTCGCTGACCACTCTCTTGGCCTCGGCCGAGACGTGGCAGGTGTCAGCCGGCCCCACCACAGCGCAGGAGCCGCCTTTATATTTCCCCAGGCGGAAACCGATGGTCTTGTCCTCACCGTCTGCACCCGCTGAGATGAGGAACTCACACTTGTTTCTGTACTCTGTCTGCCATGAGACAGGTAAAAAAAAAAAAAATAGGTGAACAGCGTTAGGGCTAGATTTACTGCTTCACACAGTGTATTTTGATCTGAGTTGAAAGATTAAAGAATGTTTTGTACAAAGAGAATTTACAACATTTTGGTTATTGTACCTCTTAAAAATGTAGTGATATTTCAGCCTGGCCTATTTTAAGACACTAATCCCTAATTGAGTTGTATGTATTCAAGATACAAGTACGACATGTGTGTATCTCAGTAGACTGACTGAAAATAAATAAAAAATCTCGAAATCCTACCAGTGGCTAGAAAAGGCTGGACTAAAGGACAGCACAGAAGCACTAATCATGGCGGCACAAGAACAGGCACTCAGTACAAGATCAATAGAGGCTGGGGTCTACCAACTGGCTAACCAACCAGACATCGTGCTGATCGACAAACAGCAGAAGGCGGCTTTATATATATATATATATATATATATACATATACACACACACACACACACACACACACCTGTGTAGGAGATGGTCGGATATCTTCCAGAGGACAACACATTTTGTTGTATTTCCCTTTCTGTGCAAACAGCCACGGCAACATGGCTTTGTTGGTGCTGCCGATCTCTCTGAAAAAGAAAAACAACGTCACGTCAGTCAGTGTGCAACTATGCAAGAATGCCTGAAACATTAATACAACCTCCTGTGTGGACGGGCTGAATGTTAATTTTTAAAGAGATTACTACATGATAAGAAGAAAAGATGGTAAAGCTCTAACGTTATTTAAAGTGGAAACAGAGAACTGGAGCCGTCAGGAGCTCCTGTAAATATGCTGTTGGCTTTCATTAACCTGCATTTGGTTAAAAATCCAGTGTTGATACTGCACACATGATCCCACGTGTACAGATGTATGCATCAGATTCTACATA